GGACTTCAGGAGAGGAACGACCCTAACCCTTTTCCACTCCCGTGGAAAATATCCCTCCCACACGCACTTATTGTAAATGGCCTCCAAGTATTCCGGAATGAACTTCCACATGCTTTTGCACATCTCTCCGTTCAAACCATCAAAACCTGGGGATCGTTTACACCTGACCAGGCCAAAGGCGTATCCCAGCTCCCCATCATCTAGTGGAGGAACAGGTACCTCATATGTTTGAGCTGCCTGAGCCTCCGCCCTAGGAAAGAACGCTCCTAATAAAGCAACCGCACATTCTATCCACGTTGATAACACAGTGTCACCAACGCGAAGAGAGGTGATATCCTCCCTCTTACGACCCCGGCAGATCCTATAGACCTGACCCCATGGGTCGTCCCTATTTTCCCCTAAAAAATTCCTCCACTCCTGTTCTTTAATTTTGACCAACGTCTCTTTATATTCCCTAATCGCACAACTAAGCTCACCCCTAAGCTGAGACAGCCAGTCAGAATTTGACCGTCGAGCGCGTTGAAACTTTCGCCTCAATCGCCTGACAGTCCTCCTCTTCGAGGTTAACTCTCGCGTCCACCACTTTATTTTCCTAACCATAAAACTTTCACACTTTCTAAGAACCCTATCATTTACCCTCCACACTACCTCACACGGACGGACAGACAGTCACTTGGATGTCAACTGGTCTCTTTATCCTGATTATTTATATGTATATACATATACATTCATACTTAACTTAACGACCTAGACACGTTCCACGAAACTTCGCTACAAAGAGAAACGCAGTAAAAGGAATCAAATATTTTAATACAAATTCATACAAATTCAATGAGATCGGATTTGAATATGTTAAATGTAATATGGTTTATCAATCAAAATGCATTTTTATCTTTATACCCTGAACAAGGTATATTAATTTTGCTACGAAGTTTGTAACACCCAGAAAGAAACGTCGGAGACCTTATACTCGTAAAATATATATTTATATAAATGATAAGCATGATGAGCTGAGTTGATTTAGCCATGTTCGTCTGTCCGCCCGTCCGTCTGTCTGTATGTATATACGCGAACTAGTCTCTCGGTTTTGAGACTCGATCTTAAATTTAGGATATGATCTTTTTTCAATAAGAAGCTGCTCATTTGTCGGAATAATTCTTGTATGGAAAACATTTTATTTTGACGTAAAGATATCTACGAATCTTGGAACGGATCATTATCTAAGGTAATAATGGAATCTCCAAAGAAATTGTTCAGATCGAATCACTATAGGATATTGCTGTCATACAAGCTGAATCAAGCAACCTGTTGCTACAGAGTATAATAGTTTTGTTCACCTAACGGTTGTTTATATCCCCTAAAACTAATAGAGTTAGATATAGGGTTATATATATATAAATGATCAGGATGAAGAGACGAGTTGAAATCCGGGTGACTGTCTTTTATGTCTGTATCTTTATGAAATTTAGTAGACATGTTTCTTGGTACCGGGAGACGCTTGGTATTGCAGATGGGCGTAATCGGACCAATGCCACGCCCACAAAACGTCATTAATCAAAAACAAATTAATTGCCATAACTAAGCTCCGCAATAAGATGCAAGACTGTTATTTGGTACACAGGATAACATTAGGGAGGGGCATCTGCAGTTAAATTTTTTTTTAAGTGGGCGTGGTCCCGCACCTAATAAGTTTAATGTGCATATCTCCTAAGCCGCTAAAGCTATAATAACAAAATTCAATGGAAGCAAATGTTTTTAGCACTTCTATTGACGGTGTGAAAATAGTTGAAATCGGGTGGCAACTCCGCCCACTCCCCATATAACGGTACTCTTAAAAACTACTAAAAGCGCGATAAATCAAGCACGAAACAAGCCAGAGACATTAAATTTTATCTCTGGGATGGTATGAGATAACTTTATAGGAACCGCGTTCAAAATTAGACAGTGGGCGTGGCACCGCCGACTTTTAGGTGAAAACCCATATCTTGGGATCTGCTTAACCGATTTCAACCAAATTCGGTGTATAACGTTCTTTTTATATTTCTATGTCATAGTGCGAAAATGGGCCAAATCGGATTACCACACCTATTTCCCATATAACACCATTTTCAATTCCATCTGATTCTTTCACTTTTCACTATGCTTGATGACTATATCGGGGTAAAACTTTGCGTGAATAATCGTTTAAAGTATGCCACCTTGTGACCAAAAATTGTCTAAATTTAACCAAACCTGTTCAAGCCCTTAAGTACTAAATATGTGAACCCCAGTGCCTATAGTTGGCCTTCTACCGAAAATATCAGTCAATCCACAAAGAAATCTCAAACGAGTATACCATTTGACTTTGCGAGAGTATAAAATGTTCGGTTACATCCGAACTTGGCCCTTCCTTACTTGTTTTAGTTTTATTTAATTTAAACCAAAAATAAATACATAACAAGTACATATATTTATACATAAAATAATATCGGATTCCAAAATCCAACAATAATCTATTAACAAAACTGAAACAACTTCATGTTAGATATAGTAAAATAAATTAGAAGGAATAAAAAAAAACGAAAAGCATGTTCAATTAAGGGATAAAAAAAATTCTCAAAATGTTTATATGGTTACAGAGTTCTCACTAGATATGTTTACTATTGTGCTCACATCGATAAAAAAATTGTGTCGATGTTTCGTTATAGCGAAGCATTTTAGGCCGTATATCGAAAATGTGCCTTAATTCAAGTAGGCCGTAACAGCGAAATGCCGTATAGCGAAGTAAGAATGTACAAAAACCGTTAGGTGAACAAAACTATAATGCTCTGTAGCAACATGTTGCGAAAGGTGAATAAATAAAAGTATGGATATATTATATAATATGTACAAAATCAACAGGAAATTCAAAAATCGTATATTAGATTTATGGGTCTAGGAGAAGTACTACAAATACCGAATTTAATCCATTTCTATGACCAGGGCACATTATTATCAGGGAAAGACGCCCACAGATTAATCAATATTTTCGATTAGAAGACTAAAGTCCTCTTATTCGATATCTGGGACTTGAAAAGTTGTAGTCTAATTTCGACCATTTTAGATGTGTTGGCAACAACAAAATTTGAATAACCTATAGGTTCGGAAAGATGGTATAGCGGGAAATACTTTAGAAGGTTATGTCATAACAAAAATCCTTTAAAGTTCAATTCCCTTCGAGAGATTTACAATTGCTTAAGATAGCTCTTTTTCCTAATAGATATACACTGGTTAAAGAAAGTATTCGACATACATACACTCGCCAGAAAAAGTCTGCGTTCACGCTAATATCTTACTTTCTTTTGTTAAAAAATAACTTTTATATACTTAATTTTGGAGCATAATCATATTAAGTGCTTTATTATTAGTTTATTGCATAATCCCATACCATTCAAAGCAATTCAAATCTGACACCTTAGTTTTATAGATAAATTTACAAAAAATAGTAATTAGGCAGCGCTGAAAAAGTCTGCGTACAAGTACCAAAATAGGAATTTCCTACGTAATAACAAAATGTAAAAGTGGCGGAAAGTTATAGTTTTACTTGTTTTAGTAAAAGTATAAATTTTAAAAGATTTTTGTTCTATTCAATTTGTTATTAAGTTTCGAATCTCGCCTAAAAGAAATAAGTCCCTCTGAAAGGAAAAAAATGGAAATTATAGATTGTTATTATTTATGCATATCTTAAAAATAAGTTTGAAGCAAAGAGCGGTAGAATTTGATCTTGGAAGTGACTCCTATTTTCTACAGGATAACGACCTGAAGCATATAGCAGACATAGTTAAGTTTTAGTTACTCTATGAGATTCACTGGTATGCAAAATCCGCCAATGCATAGTTACCTCAAAGGATGTGCTGCTCGAGGAATGGACTCACATACCTTCGGCAGAAATATCAAAGCTTGTATATTCAATGCCAAAACCCTTAGCGGAAGTTTTAAAACATTGGGGATATCTGACTTCCTATTAAATTTAAAGAAGAATTGGTAGAAAGAAAAATCACTCGGCTATAGCCGATAATAGGCCCCGTACAACTATTCACTATATTATAAAAAATGGAAATATAAGCAGTCGGTTGAAAATCATGCAAGGTGTGGTCCCCTAAGCTATTTCCTAAAACAGACGAACGGTGGTTGGTTCGCCCGATCAAAAAAGAATCACAAACTAATGCCACGGTTCTCTCCAAAAGTGTTAAAGAAAACCTAAATATAGATGACACCCCAAACTATTCGAAATTTTTTGAAAATGAATGATCACAGGGGAACTAATTCGCCAAATCATGGACCACATGCAATATATTGATATTTTGAAGAAAAACTTGCGAACTTTCCAGTTTTACCAAGATAAGGGGCCGAAACATTCCGTATTAAATACAAAGCTTTGGCTTTTATACAATTGCCCTGGAGTAATTAAAACTCCTGCTCAAAGATCAGATTTAAATGCTCTATGGGATCATTTAGAAATAAGACTGAGACAGCGCCATTTTACGAGCAAAACCCAAATGGATCAGAAAAACATTTGGTCGAATCAATACCAAGACGTACAAAAGAAGTAGTCCGAAGAAAAGAAGAGCTATGCGATATTGAAAAGTGAATTTTTGTTTGTAACTGGGCTTTTACATCAATTGTCGAATATTTTTTTGCTTTTATTTTTGGAGTAATTCAGTTTTTGTGCTTTTTTGGTTAGTTTTGTTGTTTTTATTATCATCAAGTTACAAACTAATCCAATTATTGATTTAAAAAACACTGGTTTTTGCTCTTATTTTATATTAAGGAATATTTAAAAAAAAATAATAATAAAAATGCATATGTTGAATACTTTCTTTGGCCAGTGTACAAACATACATATGTTACATGTTTTGCTAGACCGCTATTAGAGAAATCTTTTACAATTTGACTCACTTGAGGAAATCAACACATTCATCTCGAACCACTCTATTGTGGTCGTTAAAATTTCCAAACTTAAACTGTGGTTCCTAAATTACCTTATATGTAATTGTTTCAAAGTCTTCCGGGTTGCCGAATGATACGCCTTACCCAGTTATAAAACCGCCTTCGTTCCGGTTTCATCGACGCGACATTAGCCTTTGGCTCGTTATTATCAAGTCAAAAGTGAAATTTCGCTCACAATATATATGTAAGGATGGAAGAAAAAAGGAACGTCCGAGGCGGTTGAGTATTGACTATGAAAAGGGAAGAGCAGTAGCTTTATTAATTTTTGTAACCATATGTGACAGAGTTGCATTTTTAAAATTACTTATAAACTAATTAATTAGGATTGCGAACGCAACGCACGGCACAGAGCACCACAGTATCCCCTTCCTAAAGAGTCGTAGGAGGCGCGATGAAGGCGGGCTTTAGACGATCGATGGAGACTTTAATTCTATTAGCGTTGACCTCGATGATAAAATATTTCGGCGTACGATTGATAACCTTGAATGGTCCTTTGTAGGGTGCTGGTAACGATGGTCGGATGGAATCGTCTCGAAAGAAGACTTGATGGCATGACTTGAGACTGTTGTGAACGAATGTCTTTTGTGAAGAGTGCCAAACGGGATCAACTGGGCGAATTTCATTCATGATGTGTCGTAACTCTTGTACTAACTCTGTTTCGTTGCAAGTGCGACCGTTGCTAGTGAAAAAATCGGCCGGTAAACGAAGCACAGTTCCATAAACTAGTTCTGCAGGTGAACAACCGATGTCGTCTTTAAAGGCTGAGCGGAGACCCAGCAGGATGACTGGTAGATAGGCTGTCCATTTGTCTACGTTGTGACATAAAATTGAGGATTTTAGTGTGCAATGCCACCTTTCAATCAGCCCATTACACTGTGGGTGATATGGTGTAGTTCGCAGGTGTGAAACTCCAAGGCATTGCAGGAGCTCGTGGAATAACGCGCTCTCAAATTGGCGACCGAGGTCGGACGTGATGTCGATGGGTACTCCAATGGCTATCCAGCCACTGAGCAAAGCCTTGGCAACAACTGGTGCTGTCATGTTAGATATTGGTACTGCGTCTGGCCAACAAGTGAAGCGGTCGATTAAAGTTAAGCAATATCTGTTGCCCTCCGACAATGGAAAGGGGCCAACTATGTCTATGTGCAAGTGGCCAAAGCGTTGACTGGGGCTCTCCCTGCGTTGTAACAAACTTCTATTGTGGCGAATGATTTTGCTGCGTTGACACTGAGCGCAATTTTTAACAAACAACTTACTGTCGCGTTGAATTCCCGGCCACACAAAACGTTCAACCATTAATTTAGCAGTGGCGCGCATCCCAGGGTGTGATAGATTGTGTGTGGCTTGAAGAAAGGCTTGACGGAACCTCGCTGTTATAAAAGGGCGGATACGGCCTGTCGAAGGGTCGCAAACAACTTTCTTCGAACCTGAAGGTAAAACAAAACTTCTTAATTTAAGAGAATGGGAAATCGTATTGTTTAAGTATGAGTTTAATTCCTCGTCATTAGCTTGGTCATCAGCAAGCTCATCATAGTTGATCGAAACAGCGGTGAGCGATTGTATTCGCGAGAGCAGGTCGGCTGCTACATTGTCTTCGCCTTTAACATGCCGAATATCAGTTGTAATCTGGGATACGAAGTCCAGTTGTCTGGCTTGTCTGTCTGAAGCTTTATGCAAGTGTTGGTGAAAGGCAAAGATGAGTGGTTTGTGGTCGGTGTACACATGGCAAACACGATCTTCTACTATGTAACGAAAGTGGCGCATCGCGAAGTAAACTGCGGTCAACTCGCAGTCATAGGTGCTGTAGCGTGTTTCTGCGGGCGTAAACTTGCGTGGAAAAAAATCCTAGTGGCTGCAGAGCACCGTCAACAATCTGATTCAGAACGGCGCCGGCTGCAAAATCCGAAGCGTCTACCCACAGAGAGAGTTCTGCATGCGGTAGTGGATGCGCTAGCATAGCACAATTCGCGAGCTGGGTTTTACACGTTTTAAAGTGGTGGATTGCACTCTCGGTCCACAGCAGTTTGGTGTTGTCGTTTTTCTTGTTGGCTGGTATCATTGCAAAGAGTGGTCCTTGATTGTCTAAAGCTGCGATAAAAATTGAGCATCGCTAAAAAACGCTTTAGCTGTTTTGCGACGGTTGGCAATTCAAAATTCGTCAAAGCTTGAACGCGGCTAGGCAGTGGACGGATGCCATCTTTCGTGATCGAATGACCCAGAAATTCTAGTTCTGCTACTCCAAACTGCGATTTGACAACGTTGACGGTTAGGTTGTATTCTTTTAAGCGGTTGAAAGCTAAACGGAGGTGTTCTTTATGCTTCAATTTTCGAAAATACAATTTTACCTGCTAAAACTGTAGAAAAATCTTGCAGGAACGGCAGCGGATATCTGTCTGGCACAGTCACGGCGTTCAAAGCCCTGTAATCTCCACATGGCCTCCATGATCCGTCCGCCTTGCGTACTAAATGCAGCGGGCTGGCCCAATTGCTATCGGAAGGACGACAAATACCGAGTTTTATTAACAGCTCAAATTCCGAACGAGCAGCTGCTAGCTTCTCTGGCGATAGACGTCGTGGTCGTGCTGGTAGGCTGGCCGGTCGTGGTTATGTGGTGGTTTACGGATGCCTTTGTTCGAGCGCCCAATGGTGTGGAACGGGTGATTTCGGCAAATTCTCTGAGAATGAGTTGTGTTGATTGTAGAAATTCTCGCGGATGTAAGTTTCGTCAATGAGCACTGTGCGTTGAGTAAAGTTGTGCGATCTAAGAGGCGCTGACCTTGTAAGTCAATAATTAAGCCGTGATGACCGAGAAAGTCGGCACCCAAAATGGCTTGCGAAACGTCGGCTATAATAAAGCGCCATAGAAATTCGCGACGTAAATTAAGGTTGAGTTTGAGACTAACCTCTCCATAGCTAGAAACGGGTGAACCGTTCGCGGCAAACAAATTTGTTGAAGTTGGACATGCTCGAGCTAACTTTCCCGACTTTGGAATGACGGACACATCTGCACCTGAATCGATCAAAAACTTCATGTTGGCTGTCGTGTCATAATTGCAAAGTCGGTAAGTGCTTTTAGTATCAGAGTGTTTGCCTGTTTCTGATACTGAATTAGCTGAGCTTGCCTATTGTGAGTGATTTGCTGGCTCCGACTGTGCGTGTGAGCATGGCTGACGGCATTTGGTAGCTTTATTGCCGAAAGTGGCATGATACCAGCAAGGGTTATGCGAATTGCGATCTATTGATCTGTTACGCGATACAGACCTGCCGCGCCGCCGGCCCCTGTCGTTATCTAAAAGTCGGCTGACACGTTTCGACAAAACAGCGATTTCGGCTTGTAGGCGAGAAAAATCGCACGAGGACTGGAATTCCGCGCTAACCTCACAAATTTGCCCCTGCTTCATGGCCAAACATTCGGTGATTGAATCTGCAATTTTGAGTTTTTCGTTGATGGGAACACTCGTTGCGATGATATGGTAGCCACCTGTGTATAGGGTGGCAGTCGGCTGACCCAAAGATCATGCAGGATGCTGGATCTGCAGTGCGTCTCATATCGTTGTATAATTCACTGGGACGGCGATCACCCAGCAAAAGCTCTTTAAAGACTCGGTGAAGACTGCTGACTTTCCGTAAGATTCTCTACTAATTTCTGTCGGATGTAGTTGTATTTTCCATCAGCGGGCGCAGCCTCGATTAGTGTTCGCAATTCTATCAACTTCGCTGAAGGAACGCTTGCAAGCACGATGTTAAATTTCGCTGCGTCGCTGACAATATGCGATGCTTCGAACCAGAAGTCTAGCGAATAAAAATAGGCCTCGATGTTATCCTCGGACATCGCTGGCAATGGAAGCCGTGGCAAAATATTATACGTAGAAACATTTTTCGCTAAGCTTCCTCCATCCGTTACGATCGAGCTATCGTTGGGATTCATTAAAAAATGTGCGCGTAATTGATTAAATAAAACTTGATTTTAAAAAAACGTTCGGGTCAATGTAAGGATGGAAGAAAAAAGGCACGTCCGAGGCGGTTGAGTGTTGACGATGAAAAGGGAAGAGCAGTAGCTTTATTAATTCTTGTAACCATATGTGACAGAGTTGCATTTTTAAAATTACTTATAAACTAATTACTTAGGATTGCGAACGCAACGCACGGCACAGAGCACCACATATAGTTTGACACTATCGATACTGAGGACTGTACCTCGATAAGCTCTCTGATTATTGATAAGTGCAATTTGATTAAACTACAAGTATTGTGAGGGTACTTGCTTTTGGTACAGAGAAAAAAGTTAAAGTATTTCACAAACCACTAGAGCTGTTTCACTAAACTTGCTAAGAAAGAAGTCCTTGGAACACTTCTTTATGCACTGTGAAAACAGTTTAAATCAGATGATAACCACGCCAATGCCCAATATAACGATTATGTTGAAAGTAGGTTACAAATAAAACTTTACGTATACATAGGTCAGTATTGAAGTCTATACGAAATACGAGAGGATGAAAAGGATAAGAACCTACTTAGCATAATATTTGCTAATTGAAAGAGGTTTCTGTTATTTTCAATTGCTGATGGATTGCAAAGACTACTGATTATCAGGCCCATACATTGACACTTAGGAATCAATAAAAAGGTAACATTATGGGGAATGTGTAACATAAATAAATATTATTTGTCACGATTAGCATTCAACTGTTGACATACGTGTATATAGTTCACTGACCGCGAAGCGAGGCCATATCATGTAGCGTTTCGCGTTAGAATACACTGTAAAGATTTCAATAATTACAATGAAAATCATAAGTAAATAGGATTGTAGAGATAAACATATAAAAAGGGCATTGCAAAGAATAAAACACTCGTGCGGCAAAATAAGTAAACGAAACCAGCTGATTAAGTTAACAGCTTGGTGCCCGAATAGCACTCGCTCAACAATTAAACAGCTTGCAATTATACTAACGGGGTTGCTATGTAAATGAGTGTGTTTAATGAAAATGAGACAGCTGCGAAATTGGTGGCAGTTCATATGACACTTGTGACGCAAGCAACTATACTATGCCACAGTTCTCGGATGTGGCCCCATCGAATTTTTCCTGTTCTTAACCCTCAAGATAATACACACCGCTAAGAAATTGCCGATACTGAGACCTATATAGTATTTATGTCTTAGTAGATGTATTATATTTGGCTTTTTGGCGTTATTTGTCTTACATAATGTTTTAAAGTTCTACTTAACTGTGAAGCAAGGAACAACTTGTTGACCAATATGTGCTCAGCCATATTTCTTTTTTCCTTTTTTTTTAGCAAATTGTACCTTAAATCCGTTAATGTTTTTTTATTTTATTAATGGCGGCATCTTTAACGGCAAATTCTACGCTTTGGCTCATTAACCACACGTGACACACTCTTGAACGTGATTTGAGCATATGAATTTCGCAAATTGTTCATTAAGTGATATTTAATATTATTTTCTGCGAATTATTAACCCTCTTTGTTTAGAGTCGGAGATTTTGCTTGATCAATATGAGAAGTTGATGAGAAGGATGTCCAAGTGGGCATGACAAATGGTTTTCCAACTTAATTGGCAGGTTAGAGAGAGTGAGGAACGGCAGTTAATTTCATATAATGAAAATGAAATAATTTCGATTATAGAAAATGCGAGTATAGGTTATGGTCGTCCACTATAAAGAACTTTCGAAACAACGAATTTTCAGTTTAATATATAAATTTAAAATCGAGGAAAAAGTTCAAAAATGCATCGCACGAAATCAGTACGTAAGTCCCTTAAAAACAGTAAATTTTCTAGAATGGTTTATGCCTCAACGGGATCCTAAGTTTTTTAATATATCCTGTTCAGGGTTTAAAAACAGGGTTTTATGGTCAAGTTGCACACAAGAACTCATTCATATCGCTAGTCAATAGGTAAATGCATAATATTGTCGCGAAAGAGCACTTAAATAAGCCTTGGGAGTTTTGGCAAAAAGTTATTTTTTTCGATAACAGCATGTTTTGGGTCTTTGGAATCAAGGGGCGTAAGACTTTAGGGCAAATAATGGGCCCGGCACACGATAATGAAATCCTGATGCATACTATGAAGAACGGTGGTGAAGAAGCATTGATATGTGGGTGCATAGCTAGTAACTGCGTGGACCAAATGGACTTTATAGCCTCCACCATGGTTAAATATGCATACCTTTATATCTTAAAAATAAATTTGAAGCAAAGAGCGGTAGAATTCGGTCCTGGAAGTGACTCCTATTTTCTACAGGATAATGACTTGAAGCGTACAGCAGACATAGTTAAGCTTTAGTTACTCTACAACGTTGCCAAGCAGCTTCAAACACCACTAGAATCACCAGATTTTAATCCTAAATAGTGCCTATGGGATTCACTGGTATGTAAAATCCGGCAACACATAATTACCTCAAAAGATATGCTTGAGGATACACTGCACGAGGAATTGGCTCACATCCCTTCGGCAGAAACCTCCGAGCTTGTATATTCCTGCCAAAACTCTTAGCGGAAGTTTTAAAACTTTGAGATTTTAAGGATTCGTAGGAAGAATAAATTTATTCGACTTATCTGCCTTGTACGCAGACTTTTTTCAATGGATATTCTATTCGACCGTATTGTTTTGTTTATATACAGTGTCGGGCAAAACTAAAGTACGAAATTTATCATATTACCATTTAGCTGCAAATAATTTATTTACTGTTATAAAATTAATATTTTTTTTATTTTATTTCACAAAAATATAAAATTTTATTGATGTATTAAAAAACGTAACATATTAATTCACTTTATACTTTAATATGACTTAAAGATTAACAATATACATAACATAGATACGACTAAATAAAGCCCATTACATATAGTTAAAAAATTAAAGTATTTGTTTTAAATATTTGGTGGCATATCCATTGTTTTTTATGACGGTTTCACATTTGCGTGGCATATATTTAATTAAATTGTTTAAAATGTCTTCAGAAATGTTTTTCCATCTCCGTGCTACTTGGGTAAAGAGAGAGTCCGTGTTTTACAATTTTCCTGCTTAATTTTCCGTTCTACAATTATCCATAGGTCCTCTATGGGATTGAGATCAGGTGATTGCGCGGGCCACTTCAAAACTACTATTTTATTGGAAATAAACCAATTCTTTACACATTTGGCCGTGTGCTTCAGATCCTTATCGTGTTGGTAGTTTCATTTTAACGGCATTTCCACTTCAGCATAAGGAAGCATAACATTTTGAAGGATGTTTTTGTACATAAAACGATCCATTATGCCATTAATTTGATGGATCAGACCTACTCCATGACCTGAGAAACATCTTACCTCCTTCATGCTTCACAGTACCTTGTGAATAACGCGGATTCAAACGTTGACCTTTTGGTCTTCGTACCAGCTGTAATCAATCAGATTCATTAATATTGTACTTAGACTCATCAGAAAAAAGTACACTCCTATATTTTGTAATCCTCCAGTTAGCGTGAGCGTTTGCAAATTTAAGCCGAGCTTTTCGATTTTTGTGCGAAATGTAAGGATTTTTGGCACTTCTGCATGTTATAAAGTTATTTTCTACAGATCGTCGATGGGTGGACCTGTATGAAATACTCAAGCCCAATTCGCTCTGGACTGATCTAGCTGACATTAAAAGATCTCTTTTTGTGGAGCTCACCATATCCTCACGGCTAGTAGTTTTATGAGGTCTGCCATCTCCATGAAATGTGGTTAGACAGCCCGAAGAACGAAAACGACTTATAATTCTTGAGACAATGCTGTGATTAATTGTGAACTTATTTGAAATATTAGTACTGACTCACCGTTTTCAAAATCGCTAATAATGTTTTCCTTATATAGTACTGAATACTTATTACGCGCCTTTTACTAATATTTTGTTTTTATTACGAAGCAACACTATCGGTTGATCACAAATGACTAATGTAATTGTATTAAAATTACTCCAACACGGTCTTAAAATAACGGCAAGTAACAACCTAAAAATCGTTAAATAAACTAATCGATTCAAAGAAAACAAGTAAAATATAGGTAGATATTTAAACTTTTTTAACTATAGTTGGAGTTTTAACGGGACTTGATGAAATTAGGGTCAATAAATAAGTAAATACAGTTTAGTGCCTTAGTTTTGTCGCAGCAAATATACATATTATGCGAAATTTTTGTATGTCAAAATCTTATTTGTTAAATTTTTGTTTTAAACATATAAAACTACTATATTCATAAAAACTACTATATTCATAAAAAAATAATAAATTTTACATTTTGTTTTTAATGAAATATTTACAAGGTGAACTTCGTGCTTTAGTTTTGCCCGACACTGTATATATTTGCACTATATATTCACTTTTATTTCCGAAAAACTACATGCCTAATGTTTTGTAAAGAATATCAAATAAATTGGTTTTTATATAAAGTATTTAAAGTTATTTTCACCTATGAGTCGAAATTTAATATAACTACATTAAAACAATATATTTTTTTTTTTACACCCAGACTTATTAAAAAAAAAATTGTTTTTGCTCCTCCCAATGTACTTACATATGTAAATATGTATTTGGACCGTGGATGATGGTCGTCGATTTGTATGGCAACAACAAAAAAAAATTAAATACATACTTAAGTCTGTCAGCAGGCTTCATTGTGTGGTGCATTCCATGGAATTATGTAAAGAATGAAATACTAGGTAATATTAAAAAAAAATAATTTGACTTCGTCAACAGCTAAGCCGAATTTAAATGGAGGCTACTGCTTTATGCAGGATAACTACCCGATGTATTCTGCTTTGGTGGTTAAGGAATGGTACGTACGACGTGAAAAAAGTGCTGCCACATTCTCCATAGAGTCAAGACTTTAATCCCTTTTAACACCGTATGTGGAGAGGAAGTTACGAGAGGACAAAGTTTATAGCAAAAATGAGGTTATGGCTGCTCTTTAGGAAATGTGGTCAAATCTTTTGAACTTACACAGAGTTTGGTGTATTCTATGAATAACAGTACAATATATACATACTATAATGTATCAATTATCTTTATAGAGTGTAAAAATGTCCATTTATGCAAACTGTACAAGTTTTTTTCGGTCTTCGAAAATGAAGTAATTTTGGATTTTTTAATTTTTTGTAGAAAACTGGATTTTTAAAAATCTATTTCAATTACATCATGAAAATTATTAAAACGGCACTTTTCTCACTTTTTGATGTAACTCAAAAGTTTTAATAGTTTAGAAAATAAGTCACTTCAAAGACAAACCATCTCGCTGTACAAGTTTTTTTTGGCTCACTGTAGGTGTACAAAATAAGAATCGATATATTGGGCGACCACTGTACTTGCAAAATACGACGAAGGAAGGAGTCGTTACCTTCAGAGAAGCCATAGACCTGTATTGAGGAATATTCCAATTCTTAGAATGGTGAATTTTTACTGCACTACCTAATTTCCTATCCTAGAAATGCAGAAGTCTAGCTTGACAGAAAAAAAAGTTTTCAAACAAAGAGAATGCTGCCAAGCTGCTGCAAAGAAGTTTGTGAAAAGATCGATCGGCTTGAAGTTGTTAGTGCCGGCTAATGGAACTATAATTCTGATAATGGTATGGGTTGCTATGGTGCATGTGCAAGCAGTCACGTTCCATGACTTACGTACATACACAAGTAAAATTACATGAATGATATTGAAAAACAGAAATAAGTGCAGATACACCTAAAAGCACGTTAGCATATGTATGTATATAGTGGTGGACAAGTAGAAAACTGCACTTATGTTGCATGATAGAGGAGGTTTTCAGGATTAAAATATGTATGTATTTACATATGTATACCCGTTTCAGACTTATTGTTTTCGAGATATTTGTATTTAAAGTTCAAAAGTTGCATAAGTTATGCACGGTATATCACTATGTTTAACACACCAAAGAAATCGTAATCGTGCCAATTGAACACTTTTGTACTTACATGTGTATTAGTAATTGGGATTATTTCATTACATATTTTGATTCATAGGTCCTCAGGTGTCTTTCTAGTTACTCACCTAGCCAATTTTAATAGCGCCATTTCATTTATTGTTTGCAACTGGGGAGTTAGCGCAATCAATGTATTCCAATCAACAGTTCGTTGCCCTCTGATGTGTTGATGCATCCGCTGAAGCAGCCGGTGAGTGACGCGTAATGCGAGTGTGAATCCACTTAAGTATATCTTATGTCGACTACTATTTCTGTCGCTGTTTGATGTGCACCTGTTTCAGGTATAAATAAAATGTTTTTGACAGTGATTACTTATATGTATTTTCCAAAATAGAGTTCGACTCTACCAAGCACTATATTCAGCAGACGCGATTATTTTACACTCTACCACCCACAAATTGGCTACTTAGCAGCGGTTATTGCTCCGTGCACAGATACTTATGTTTTTTTTGCTGTTGTGCGATTGTGCAGAAATGCTTTTTGTGTTGTTGATGTCGTTTTGCTTTGGAGCTTGTTTACACACATGACATTATACCCTTATTTGCCTTTTTATTGGTTTAGTTCTGATTGCGTTTAACTTGCTTGTTGTTTCTTCTATTTTAACAACTTGCGTAGTGCATTTTTGCCTCACGTCCACTATTTCCTGGATCGCGGATTTCTCAACGCGTCTTTCGGTGTGTTTACATTATATTTTACGCGATTCAAGTCAATTTCCGTTTGATTTGTTTATAGAATTTGCATTTATTCCATGTAGTCATGGAATTAGCAGTGACTAAGAATTTTCAACACTAAGCGTAACTACATATATATTTAACTTTGTTTACTTACGTAGTTTTTTTTCATTTCAGTATTTGTTAATTCATTAGTAGTGTGACAAGAAATCTTGTACAGGAAATATTTGTTTTCATAAATAATTCAACAATTGTTTCAAATAATTCAACTCAAGTTTTACCAAATCTAATACTATTCAACCCACTTTCACGCGCGCTCAAATTGTACTGAAATTCAAATCGCTTTATCGCTGCTTTTTCTTTAGCTGCAATTTAGAGAGAAAACAAAGAGAGTTGACGGAAAGCGCATTTTACTGAATGCTGATTTTTCTCTTATGTTCATCAAGCAGGGTTGCTTTTCAATGTAAGCAACGTAGTTGCAGGGTGCTATAATATTTTACTATCATCATTTATATTTACAAATATAATGGAGATTTTTCTCTTATGCCCGTCAAGCAGGGTTGCGTTCCAATGTAAGGAACGAAGTTGTAGGTTTTACTATCATCATTTGTATATAGACAATAAATAAATTTTTTCAAGTAATTTTTCGTAGTAAAAGCAAACAAATATTTAATAATTCTCAAAATCGCCTTAAAATTTTGCGAATGGGTAGGTTTTCTATTTCGTTGTCAAGTCGCTACAATTATGTAAAGATTTTTTTATAAACAATTTAATTATATATTTTATTAAATTGAACTCGGTTTATAATGTTCTAAAATTTACAATTGTAAAATTGCAGCAATACCAAAGGCACTATTGTTGCTACTTATATAAAAAAAAAAAAATTTGTTCAATCATAAAATATCAGAAGCGAACTCTGTGCTATACTGGCAGTGAGGTATAACAATTTTGCCAAAGTTCCGTTGTTTGTCAAAGTTTTCGTTTTTTAAGTGCCCTTTAAAGATGTCTTAGTTTATTGTGCGAATTACTTAATTTAAAATAAAATAACATTTTATATGGGTAACAAAATCCAAGGAAAAAAATTATTCTTATTAATTTTTTGTAACAACGCTGTGTTGTTGCAACATCCCTACAAGAAACTGCTTATGGGTTCACCAATACAATCACATTTTTGTGGTCAGTACTGACGACCAGTTTACTTGTCAACTGATCGTCACTGTTATTATCAAACAGAGACATCCTTGAATTAGATTGCTTACATGTGCAAGAATGAAATAGCTGAATCCTCTAGTACTGTCACCACTGACAGTCAAATGAATAGTAAAATGACTGTCAATGTTGATGATTGTAAAAAAAACGTTTATCAACACTAATCATACTTTTTTAACACTTATATCTTTGCGCAAAAGCAACCCTGTCAAAAAGGGACGCTTAAAATTTCATATCAGTTTCCATTGTATAAGCCTAGATTTATACAATGTCAGTTTCTTAACAACCGCGCAAATAAATTTTACTGTTCTTATTGCCACATACGAAAAGTGTTGTACGCTACTGTGCAAACATCTTTTGTGTTTGTTGTTAAGAATATAAATTTGTATGAAAGAGAGGAGTTTTCAAATATAATATACATATGTACGTATATTAAATAAGTTTCAAATAAAACTATATATATATATAGTTAATCTCCATTTGCATTTTTAAATTCAGAAATATTCACTGATTGGGAAAAGACGTACGCAGAGCTATTGAAAGGAGGAGATGGAATCAAGTGAAAATTTCTTTTCACATTTTATTATTTAATTATATTTTTTGTTGCATTCCTTTTTATATTTATGTATATTATTGTAACTAATTTTTGTTAAAAGTTAAAATTTTTTTAGAGATTATATTATCTACTGCGCAAATGAATTTTTCACTTGTGACAGATTTATAGTCATAACTGACAATTTTCAGCTTTGATGGATTTATGGTCAGCCATGATTCAGAAAAAGGCATGAAAGTGAGCAGCATTGATATATAGTGAATCTATTCCGAATATGATGTGTTAAAGAAAGATGCAAACTTACACACATATGTTTGTTTACATCAGTTTTTGCACAAGGCTCTTAAGAAAATTATGGAAACTTTATTCTGCGCACTGACAAAATTTATTCAACTGTGACTGTCATATGACTGTCAAATGACTGTCACTGCTTGAATAGTTTTGATCCGACTAAGATAGTTTTAGGTTATAAGGTGGCAAACTTCAAAGACACTATTCGTGCAAAGTTTTATCCGGATACATTGATTGGTTCTTGATTTGTATACTGGAAAGTTAAAAAATCAGATGGAATTTAAAATTGTGTTATATGGAAAGTAGGCGTTTTTTTTTTTGTCTGATTTCGCCCATTTTCACACTGTAGTGAAGAAATAATAGGTCAATATTAACTACTGAATTTCCTGAGATATGGATTTTCAACTAAATGTGGGCGGTGCCATGCCCATCGTCCTAATTTGGCTGGTTTAACGCCCTCTCGTACCATATTGGGTGTAAGTTTATTTATAGATTATTTAATTTATAGATTAAGTAATTTTAGTAGTTTTTAACAAAACCGTTATATGTGGAGTGGGCGGGGTAGTAATCCGAATTCACCAATTTTTACAGAGTGGGTAGGATCTGCCCTGAACGAATTTGGTTATCGTAGCATGAATGGCTTAGGAGATTTGCCCATTAAACTTATAAAAGGGAGAGGCCATGTCCACTTTTTAAAAAATTTTCAACCATATATGCCCCTCTCTAATGCAATTCTTTGTAGATTTTTTTAGTGACCTGCAAATGTCACATTCATACGTGTCATTACTGTGACGCCACATTGTCGTTATATATGAGAAAAAGTTGACCAGAAGGTGGCAAATCATTACATAGGGACTTCAAGTTTTAACCAAGGTTTAGACCTATCTACATTGAAAACTGGTCCATTTTATATTATTAAAATATCATATTGACCAACAAAAACGGTTTAAAGTCAGCGGAAACCGCTATATCGGGTATATGGGAACTGCCAATGAATGAATGCTTACCTCACCTGAATTTAACCATTTAAGGCACGAAGACACAAGAAAGCTCTCTAAATTTCATGAAGATAATTCACATATTGGACCATTTATACAAGGAGTGGGTGTGATTATAGCACTTTATAGGTTTTCTATTAATGCCATTTGTGGGGTGGAAATCGACTGATTCCGCTTATCTACAAAACTGATCTTCTTATAGTGCCAAGAAACACGTGTACCAAGTTTCATCAACATACTATCTTATTTTACTAAAATTATCGCTTGAACGGACTAACGAATGGACAGACAGTCAATCAGAATTCAGTTCATCTCATCATTCGGATAAGTTATAGTTACATATATACAGATATATGTATGTATACCTCTACATCTACCTCGATTAGTTTTAGCCGCTACGAACAGCCGTTAGGTAAACAAAACTTTGCAGCAATATGTTGCGAGAGAAAATAACGGTCTGCTCTTTTATCTATCGGAATTTACTAAATACTACAATAGTTGTAATCGCCCCATTATAGTAAACTTCCTATTCTCAATAGTATAAAACAACAGTTTCGTATTTCTTTTCTAATCATTCGATAAAAATTTCCGAAGCCATTCACTGGAAAATATTAAAATTATACTTGAATTATTATTATTATATAATTTTTTCTTTTTTCTTTGCAAATCATTCCTCCTGTTCAATACCAAACCTCAGAATCTAGGATTGTAACGAAAAAACATAAAACCAATATGTGGGAGGAGCTCGCTAGCTATAAAAATCATTTCCTCCAACTCGAGGTGGAGCACATGAAGAGGGAAACTATAAACGATTTGGTTACCAAAGAATACTATAAGGTAAAATCAAAACGTTGTCGTTGTAAGTGTCCGAACGATGATAATTGCTCAAGTTCGGCCTATTTTCGTGACCATGCCGCGTTAGCATATGGCTTTCAATGTATTGAAAAATTGACTTACGATATGTGTAGTGATGATCCGCTGCTCAGATGGCAGGCTGTGAATTCATTAACCGAGATAATACTCAATCCGTGGCAGGCAGAACGTGCCATCATTCAATTCGATTTGGTGAGAAAGTACGTGAGCACAAACATACATATGTGATGATTAGAAGAACTAAATTATTTATCAATTATCTTTTTAAGGTGTAAAAATATGTTCTTCCGCTTACAAAATGGATATCTCAAGGAATTCTTCAATGAACACAGACAATTAATGAAAATATTTTGTAAATATTATGTTAGCTTTAAGCTTCCAAATGCTTTTATAAATTTTCACTTTTCTCAGACTTAGTTTCGAGCTACCTAAATGGTGCTCATGCCATTGTTGGGCGCTTACATTTGGTTGAAGAATTCTATTCGATTATCTATAATCATGGGAATACACGCTATCTGGCTTGCAAGATACTACGAAACTTGACTGAAAAAACAGAGAGTATGTAGTGGTTTTATATTTATATTTCGTTAAATTGTGTAATTTCGTTCTATTTTTGCTTCATTAACTGCAGTACTGCTCTTTCTCCTCAATGAAACATCATCATTTCAAAATCTCTCAATTATTTTCAATGCTGACCCATGCACGCCCTTCTATCCCTATGCATTGTGGGAGCATCTTTCCCATTTCTTGGAAATCGCACCGAAGTTGGCCATAAAAGCCGGTTTCTTTGAACTATTATATGAACGCATAAAGAATAAAACGCTCTTCTATCATGAGCTTTGCATGAAATGCTTTGCCATGCTCTTACGCTGTGAGGAGGGTCAGCAGTGTTTCGATAAGATTGATGGCGTAAAATTGTTGTATGACATAATCGCGGATGAGCAGAAACAATTGGATAACTATGAATATGTGATGTTGGCTTTGCAGCACGGTTTAGTGAGCAATCGTTCGTTATGGCGTTGTCGTGAGTTTACCCATCTGCCGAACCGTGTTATCGAGTTAGCCAAGGTGGAGAATAGAAACTTGCAATTGGAATGCTTCAAGGTGGGTTGTTTGATCTTGTGTGATCTCATATTGTTTATTGCTTTGGCGGCAACTTGAAAAAAATGTTGTTAATGATGGTAAAAAAATACTGTGATCCCCTTAACCACATCGTGGTCGTCAAAACTTTGGTACTTCTTTCCTGCTTTTTTGCCTTTTTCCTGATTGCGTTTGTTTATTTCTTAGTCTCTTCGTCTCCTATCCGCCATGCCATGCGTAAAGGCTTACATACTGCATGGTTGCATGTCCGGTTTGATGTCAATCAAGTGTTTGAATGAACAGAATGAGTGCACTCGTGATTCGTTGGCTGAATGGTTGAATCGTGACATTTGTGATTCGAGTGAAATGTGATTTTTTAAATTCAGTTTGTAGTTTTAAAATTCAGCAATGTTTTTAAAACTAATTTTGAATAAAAAAAAAAAAATGTTTGTCATTATATGTTAAGAATATTCCTGTACTGTCTAAAATGTATTATTTAAAAAAAATAGGGATGGTCGGTATGTTTTAAATCTAGACCTGAAAGGATAAGTAGTTTTTTAATATTTAGTAACTTATTACTCCACACTTTTGAAAAGTCTTAACAACATCTTTGAGAACACCATTCGCAAAAGGGATACGGGGAATCCTATGAAATGACATTGAGGAGACTCCTCTATAAAAAATAATTCTTACGTTCTGAGTCATAGTTTCATATCCTTATTATTATATTATTTCTTCTCAAAAGCTCCCCTTGAAAGTCTGCTTTTTTGTTAGAGTTCTTGGTCCTTAATTGGACCGATTAAACCATTAGATTCTATTCAACGCATGAAAAATTATTTAAGTGTCTCTATTTTTTTGAGAACGGCTTTTATTAAAGGTGTGACCGTTGTTACGGAAAAAACTTTTTCCCTCAATTTTATATATGTTTTAGATGGGATTATCATCTCGAACTGAATTAAAGCGATTATGTCCTTACTTTTTCATACTTATGACAACAAATCTTCATTTTCTCGACTTACCTGATTTGCTTTGATCTTAAAGCAAAGTCGATCATATTTTTCTTTGTAAATATACAAGTATTCCTATAAAATTATTTGCTACACCCAAATTTAGCCCTTTCTTATTTTTAATGTTTAAAATAAATTTGGTTATAAATTAATAATATGTACAGTCGAACTTCCCTATATAGTCCAGTCATTTAAGCTTAAATTAGGTAAGAATCTCGGAATTCAGATACCCAGCTGTAAGTCTGTAAATACTTGTACATTGACACCCTAAAAGTTGTCTCAAAACCTACACATGGTAGGGTGTACGCAACTATTAAATTTCAAGGACAAAGGTTACAAAAATCGGTTTTTTGCGCTTTTTTTGTAAATATCTCATTTCCTATGGGTTTTTTTCTATTGGTATTTATTATCAATATTGTAGAATACAAAATTCTCTACAAATTTTGTTTAACAATTTTTTTCATACGGTGAACCGTTTTCGAGATAGAGGGCTTAGAGCGCGCGGTCACAGCATCACTTCAGGTCAACCGGTGCCTCCGATCAAAAACGGGCCATATATAGTTGATGAACTATCGATAAATCAATGATTATAAATATTTGTCAATTTTTATTAACTATTATATTAAATTTTATTATTTTCTTCATGCCTTAAATCTTTATCTATTCAATAACCGTTTCCTAAAATTAAAAAATAATGAAGGGAAAAACTTAAATCTTACTATAATTACAATATATTCCCATTAACACTAATGACATTTTAATTAGAAAATAATTAAGTGCATCTTCTTTAAAATCTGTAAATTTTAAAATCCTTCCACTACGTCAAAAATTATACTTGGGAATTATACGGGCCCCTATTATACACTACGGACCTTTCTATTTATAGCCAGTAGGAACATATGTTCAAGTATATTGTATAGTTACGACCTTCTTCTCTTTGTTTCTGTCTTACGAACAAGAAATTTTCTTTAAAAAAGTTGGGAAAGGCAATGCAATTTTTGTGACCTTTGACCTTGAAATTTAATAGTTGCGTACACCCTACCATATGTAGGTTTTGAGACAACTTTTAGGGTGTCAATATACAAGTATTTACAGACTTACAGCTGGGTATCTGAATTCCGAGATTCTTACCTAATTTAAGCTTAAATGACTGGACTAATAGTGAATTTGCTCGGGACCTGAAAAACACTTCCCTAATTAGAAACTTTATTATATAGAAACTATGATTTTATTTTTGATTATATTTAATAATCAGTAAGTTTGGTTTGAATTACACTCTACCAATTTTCATTTTTAACAAAATGTTCTAAATCATTTAGAGAGTAGAAAACATTTATCTGTTACTCCTCATCTCCGCAAAGATTCCGATTAAGTTAATGAATGAAGAAACTTGTCCTCATGTAGGTAATCCCTCATCAGTATCTGCCAAATCACCTTCAGCGTTATGTGAATATGTAAAAGTAGAAATATTGTTTATTACATTTTTGTTTGATTATAAAATGATAAATATTTACCAAGTATTCTCTTCATCTCAATGCTCAGATGGATTCTGCATGGTATCTTTTGAAAATCCTGCCTTTGTAAAACAGTTGGCAGTTGTTCCTGGTTTCACATAGATATTCCATACAGTGCTTAAATTTTGAATAAGTTCCAGTTAAGCCAATATATTCAATAAAATTCATTTTCTGTAATGTTGTTTCATGTTATAGATAATGCCTTGGTCCATTGGTTGCAGTAATGAAGTCATGTTGAGAGGAAAATAACCAGTGCAGTTATCCACAAAAAGGAATACCTTCCTGTTTTGATCAAACTTTTTTTTTCGAGGTTTAGAATATAACTACAACCTCGTGAAAATCTCACAATCCATGCTTTTTTGTTAAATTCATAATCGACATCAAAAGATTTTATTGACGTAAAGCACCTCGAAATCTTGGCCTTACGACTACAAGCAATTTAAGCGTTTCAGATCCGGTCATATTGATTTCTATCAGGACAATGATTCTTTCCTTGCTTTGTTTCCCACCAAAGCATTCATTTTTGAATGTCAGTGTTTTGTTTGCAAGCATTTGAAAAACAAAATAGTCTCATCGGCATTAGAGATGCTGTTTGCGTTGTAATTTTCAATCAATTTTGGTAAAACATTTCTTATTCATTCTTCACGATTTTGTTAGAACTTTTCCTACATAACAATACCATGTCATGTTGAACTTGTCTAACCAACCTGTTCTTGCCTCAAATTCATGGTGTCTTAGTGCTTCAGGAAAATCTCTGGCCGTTTGCATCAATAATAATCCAGATAAAGGAATATTTTTATCACGTGCAACGGCTATCCATTTTAGTACTGCTTCATCAATATCATCAAACTAGCAAATTCGAAATCGTTTGCGTTTGATGCTTACTGTCTCATCATCTGCATCTTTTAAAATCACTTCTTTAATTTTAAAGTATTTGAAAATGTGGTAGGAAGAATTTTAAACTTATAAGCAGTATCTTTTTTTGTCGTCTCTTAATTAACTTTGTTAATAATCAATAATTTTTTCTTCAAGTGAAATGCTGCTTCAACGCGTTATTTTAACTTGAGTCCCTGAATACAACAGCGATAGTGGAAATCTCTATTTTTGGGATTCCCCTTATTACACTTTATCAACTTGTATTTCTGGGAACACGCAGATAAATCTTGAAATTAAAATAAACATAAACAAAAAAACGAGAAAGCTTGATGTCTTATTTTTGTCAATAAGACATTTCCTCATCAGCTTGCTGTAATGTAGCTTAAGTAACAACAATAATAACAAAGCTTTGGGCGGCAAATCTGTAAGTATTGATCTAAAATATTTCTTATTTATCTGTAAAGATATATGACTTTAAATTTGTTCAGATAGTGTGTTAATACTTTAGCAAAAATCGATGCGAAATTTCATGAAGATTTCTCCTCAAATGGGAAAGTTTTCCATACAAGAACTTGATTATTTTCCTTCAGTTTGTATGTCAGCTATATACTATACGGCGGTTCCGATAAACGAGCAGCTTCTTGAAGAAGACAGATAGACATGGTTAAATCAACGCATATACATACATATTTATCTTATAGGGTTTCCGACGTTTTCTTGAGGGTGTTGTAGACTTTGTAGCAAACTAATATACCCCGTTCACGGTATAAAAACAATTAAAAACCCTAGTCTCCCCTTAATATAGTGTTTAAATGAGTTAAACTCCCTCCTCCAAGTACACCACTCTACTCGGGAAAAACTGGCGCCCCCTAATAATGCCCACCACATACTCATCAATACACCACACCAGATGATACCACACAGGAAAACACAACATACTATCTTTACATTCGCTTATCGTCTACGGGCCTGAGCGCCACATCAACTTCCCGCTTTTTTTCATCGACTCGCTAGCGATCAGATCTTCGAGCACCCGCCTAAATCGACTCCCTTTTTTAATAATTTTGCCAACGGTGAGTGAAGTTAAAATTAACTTATTAATTAATTAATTTAGTGGTTTGTAAGATATGTATTTATGTATATTAAGCAATTTGGCGAGTGTGGCAATTTTTAAAAAAATTTAAACCACCTCTTTATAGCAATTTTATGAACTAAATTACAGTTTTGTATCTTAATTGGTTGCTTAGTTATATAAGAGAATGTTAATGAATTATGAATGTTTATTAACATTCTCTGCCTTCTCTATACATTAACATTCTCTGCTCTGGTATATGTAACTTCAATAAGATATCTTGATTACTTCGTAACCAACCCGTTTTCCCCATATTATCTAAATAACCCTGCACTTTAGCATGTTTTCTTTTCCCCTTCAACCCGTTTGTTAATATTGATTTGTCCCAAAATAACCGTTTAAAATACCCGAAATTTTTGCCCGACATTCAGCTGTTTGAAAACTCACGAGAGCTTACTGGCACTCGCACTCTACCCGGCGATTTAGACTAGAGAACCTTAACGGTATTAATTGAAAGCTCTCACCTAGCGTCTCACTGAGAAGACTTGCGCTCAGGAAATCACCGCTTGCTTCCACCCTCCAGCATAACATTATTGTGCATAAGCAACATACGGAAGCTTAACCGCTAGCTTCAAGTTTCCGATGGTCCAGCTAACGCTTGCACTTGCTATTTAAACAACTGTTATACGAAGGCATAGTTTAGTTTGTGTTAAAGCGTCTACGGTAAAATACTGAAACGAGCGAGTAAGGGATTACGCGTCTAACTTTTGCGCTTTTCGCAAGGTTTTTGATTCAAAGCAGGGCTTCTGGTGCTGCTGTTGCTGGAGGACGGACATACATAACACGTCTAGTCGTTGTTGTGTGGCAAGGACACGAGCGTGCATTTTTTCGGTTGTCGGTTTTGTTTTCCTTGGCCAGAATAATTGGTTGGTTGGACGCGATAAGCTAACGGCTACACAGCCGACGTCCAGCGGGCGCTTGCAAACGGTTAATGAAAGTTTCGTTTCAACGATTGTGAGTTTTAACGTAGCTGATTGCAACGCTGATTTTGTTTTGATAGAAAAAGCTGAAGCTTTAAAGAAAAAATCAGAAAAAGAAAGTGGCCAAACTCACTTGATATGCCGGGTTTTGTTGGCTGAGCTCGTTAGCTGAGCTCGTTGTGTTGCTCGATTCAGTCTGTCGTTGACTAGCGTTCGTGATGTGTACGTGCCGCAGCCGAGAACGAGTATCGTGAGTACGTTGAAACGGGATTTTTGTGCTCGCTCGGTAGCATACAAATATCCTGCTAGTGATTTATGCTGATGTGTTTGGTGGGTGAATAAAATATATATAGTCATTTTTTTAGCAAGCAATAAAAATTAATTTTACGCTTATATTAAGCAGGTTGTATTGTTGTTAGGTGTGCAGAAATGTTTTTTTCAAGTGCTTTGTGTATGTGTAGTTGTTTTTTTTTTAGAAAAATGTGCAAGAGTGGGCATAGGCTCTTGGCATATCCGTCGTATAAAGTTTGTGCAAAAGTGAATTTGTAGTAAAGTAAAAATAAATAACAGAATAAATTGAAAACGTACTTTGAATCGTTATTGCTGTGAGAATTCAGGATTTTTGGTTAGAAGGACTTTATATCCTTTTAGTGCATGAATATCCTACCACTTTGCATGTGACGTTTGCATTCTACTGATGAGGTGACAAAATATGTCGGAATGGCATACAAAACAGTGTTATTTATGCAATGATTTTATGGTATTAAAGAGTTGTAAATGAGTATTAATGATGACAAATAGAATAAAACATATTAAAACAAACAAAAAAAATGCTTCAAATTTTAACGTATTAAAAATTGTTGTATTTTGTTATTTTTTAACTAATTAATTAAATAATTTCTTTAAATTACTTTATGACTTTTAAAACCTATTAAGTTTTTTTGTAATTTTTATTTAAATACTTTATCTTATTTGGAATTAAAATTTTTAGAACTAAACCAAAAAATAGAGTAACAAAGAAATGAAATAAAAAAATTAGGAGTAAAACAAATAGGTTGTTTTTTGTAATAAAACAGTTTCAAATAAAATTTTGTATCCTCTTGAAAAAATATTCGTGTTTTTAATTATTTTTAAATGTATATAGAAAAAATATATATATTTTATATAGAGTGAAAGTAAAAAAAAGTAAAAAAAAAATAATAATTAAAAGGCTCCAATAAATAAATTGAACATAAATAGTTTTTTACATTATTTAAATATTTTAATTGTTTTTTGAACGTTTATAATTTTTTAATATAAAGCATGTTTGTATTTTTTAAATGCAGAATATATTTCCATTATATTTTTTTGAAATTTATCACAAAAAAATTGAAATTGTTTTTTTTACCGCTTGACAATGGAACAAAGTTAATATAGAATAAAAACAATAACAAAAAGCTTTTTTAAAAAATAATAAGTAAAGATTCAATACATTTTGTAAATAAAATAAAAACTTTGTTTCAGTTAATATACTCTTTCCCATTTTTTGTGGTAATATCTTTTTATTTTAAATGAACAAAAATGAAAAGTAATTTTTCTACAATTTTTTTTTTTTTTTATAATTTCTTTTCTTAAAAATTAAGTAACGAACTATTTTTTAAATTTTTTAGAATGTTTCCACTAAATTTTTCTTTAAATTTTTTTCTCAAATAAAAGTAATAACATAAATTTTATCTAAAAATTAAATTAACAAAATATAGCTTTTTTAAATTTTTTGCTGCAGGAAAAAGACTTTAATCCTTCAATTTCTGCTATAATTCTCGAAATATAGTTTGTGCGTGTGCATGTGCTCCAATATCTCTCACGCTGCGTGCGAGTTAATGGCGCCCAGTTGCAGAGCTTTGTATCATGTGCCCAAACCGGCAGCAGTGTTTATTGTGTTTGTGTTTTTCGGCTAACTGTGAATTGTTATTTTTATGCGCTGCCATAAGTGCACATGTCGAATGGATAAACGTACCTCTTACAATAATGCCAGTGTGTCGTTAAAAGGATATCAAGTTTTTGCTGCTCAATTGGGTTGTCAAAAATAGGTTGTAAATTGAAGCTTATTTAGGCACAAGTGGTGGTAAATATGTAGGAAGAGGAGATGAAGGAGAAAAAATCCAAATAAAGGTATGCTAAAGTATGATTAATCAGAGTGACTGAAGTGAGCATAAAAGCGGTTACTGCGTTCAAAGGCTTCATTTATTTTTAAAATGCTTCTAAGTAACGATTTTTGATTGCATTCAAAATGGTGAATGTATGTACTCTGACCCAAAGAGTTATAAATGTTTAATTTGGGAGACAATTTCATTATGTACAGTCATAATTTTGCTTTGTAATAGGATTGTGTAATAAACTTGTTGAAGAAAGGGTTACCCCCTTCCTTGGGGGAAAAAATATAAAGAAATTTATTACTCATACAAACATATATGCTAAAAGTAAAGGAAAGAAGGTTTCATCATAAGTTAGTTAGGTTAGACATTGAACAAGAAAATTAAAAATTAAGAAAATTTCAGGATGTTCTAGTAAACTTATAACTTTACATTTTAGCAATTATTATATACTAAATTTATTAAAAATGTTCAGTCCAATTTCTACATAAATTTGTAGGTCACATTTTGAAGGGTCGGCAGGGGACTGATATCTGTCATTAGTCAATGAATAGAAAACCGGTTGTGTAAACCTGACCTCATAGAAATGGAAAAAACTCAATTTCTTTAAGTATATTTTTGTATTATATTAAGCAACACAATACATTTCTTGTGCCTCGCTTAGAAGAAATAATCCAGTAATTCCTCGCTAAGATATTTCATCAAGAAAATTATGCCATATTTGCTTCAAAGAAAATATTCAGAGATTGTTTTTTTTAAATCAAAACCCTGAAAAGCATAATCGATAAATTTAACGGCCTTGGTTGGCACTTGGTGTCTTCTTTCGTGGTTAATAACACGCTACCATTACGCTTTGTACTAACTGTGTGGTAGTATTTTATTAAACCAACATTTCCAAGCTTATAAAAAAAAAAGATATAGGTGTTATTATGCAAATTCAATACATTTTAATAGTAAAAAGTGACATTGAATATTATTTTAGAAAGATATATAAAACGATTAAAATATCAGAGTGAAGTGATCAATCCACATACGAATGTTCTACTTTTACATCACCAAAATAGAGAATTAAAGAATGGAAAATAGATGATTTTTTAATAATCGGTTAACCGTCAAGCATCATTAAAGCTGTTTTATTAATTAAAAGATGTTTTATTAATTAATGAAATAGAATTCACTTGTATCTTCACTGTCTTAATTTTTTGTTTTAGAAAACTTTAAGATTTGAGGTTTCTGGGTTCTGGACCAGAATCTTTCTATATTATAAACTAAAAAATATTTTAAGAGATCCTGTCTATGAAGACTAGCTATTCTACTATTCAATCTCACTTGCTCAGGCACTAACTGTAATTTAAGCTGCTGTCGATTTGGTACTTCTGTGCTTACTAAGTCCTACAAGTATTACTATTATCAGCTTGTAAAAATAAAATCGTTTTTAAAAGTAGAAACAAAGTCATGCAGTGAAGTTAATGGAAGAGAAATTGAAGGCGTCATACTACCGTAGATGTTATACTATCTCTATTAGATTTTGCATTTATGCCAGTTATTTGTTCGTTTACCCACATTTTTTAATATGTGTGGGTTTTATCTTCTGATTGAGGTAATTTACATCTAATAAGACGAAAAATGTTAGTGATATTATATTTTTATCTATTAAGGTAATTACAAAATTTTTAAGACAAGAAAGTGGTTATAAATAGTCTAAAGATAAACAAATACAAAATAAATTCAAATAACGTTGCATAATATTAATACGCTAGACTCTACAATTTCTTAAAAAAGAATGAATGTTACATTTTGATTGAGTAACTGTGATTATTAATAATAAAAAATGCTTATATTGTATTTTTTTCTCGAAAAAATCAAAGTATATATGTATTTATATACAAACATTTTTAAGGCATAAAAGCTAGTCATAAAAAGTCTAAATATAAGAAAAAATAAATAAATTTAATTATTTTAAGCATTCTCTACCTTTTTTTTAATAACTTAAATTTCTCATTTCTTTTGCAGTGAAGAAAATAAAATAAAATCCAGCCTGAAATGAAACAAAATGCGAAAAGTGGTAGAAATTGAAAAATCCATTAATTGTGTGCTCCACAATGAGATTGAACGTACAATGTTAAGTGAAATGTGAAAGTGAGGAAACATTTTTACAGCAAGAGCAAGTAACAACAAGAATATTTAAAAGTTAAAAAGTGAGTGCAGCACCGCTAAACGTAACTGTGTGTGCATGTACATATGTATGCATGAAAAATATGCAACACTATTAATGCTATCAACGGCAACAATCGTATACATGTTGTTGGTATTAAGTCATTAAAATATTATCGCACTAGTATTACTGAGTTTACGAGTCGCCTTGTTTGCAAGGCAGGGCAAAGGGCGTGCCAAAACAAAGCTGATCTCTGCGGATTTCTGTGTAGCTGCGGAAAGTGCATTTGCTACCGCGCGTGTTTGTACTTGTAAGTGTTTGGGTGCATGCGTGTGTTCGTCGGTGAGGGCGCCCGTGTGGATTGTGGAAAAAGTGTCTACCGTTGTTGCTGAATAAACGTGTATTGTGTAGCAAACGAAAAGAACGAAAAATCAAAAGGAAAGAAAAAAAAAACAAATACAACAATATATTATAGCTAGCAATAAAAAGCGGCAACAATTAGCTAACTGCGAGCCAGACAGCTATACTAACCAGCTTTTAGCTGGATAGAGATGTAAGGACTCGAACGATCAAACAACGGCAAAAATAACTTGCCTTGTACAAAATCATATGTAACGTTGAGCATGCTGGCAACAACAACACCAACAAAAGAAAAAGCAACATCTGATAGCGTAGCAACGAGTATACTTGGACCCACGAACATGGCCGAGGTCCCTACAAACGTTGCAGTCCCTTGCCATGTGGTGAACGCAGTTGCGAAAATAAGAAAAACAAATGTGTCAAGTTGCATCAGCAACAGCAGCGGCAGCTGTAACAATAGAGCCAACAGCGCTACAATGAAGCAAAGAGCACCAACGGCAACAAAAGCAGTAGTGAGGAGTAAGACAAAATCTCCGCGTTGGCGTTGTGCTGCGCTGTTGATAAATGCAGACAAAAATAAAAACAATAATTTAAATAATAACAACAACAATAGCTACAACCGGCAACAAGCTGTTGCTGCTTCTTCTTCTTTGCCTTCGTCTACTGCTTCCCCAGCTGCTGTACGTTTTACTCGAACACCATTCTTATCAACACCATCATCGTCATTACCATCGTCGTCCTGGCTATATTGCCTGGGGCTATGGATTGCAATTTCGTCATTGGTATTTGTGCAGTGTGTGCCATCACCCTCGTCAGCATTGTCCGCTTCCTTAACGGGCAGCTCGTCCGGCAACTTGGCGTCCTCCAATGCAATGCAATCACCACAAAAGCGAGGTAAGTGCACGTATAGTTCCGACAGTTCGTAGGAGTTCCTAGCCGGTAGCCTCTGATACAAACTTTTTGCTATGAGTGTATGGCTAAATGCGTATGTGGCTATTGTGCGTTGGTATATTCGTATCCAAATACATCTACCGATGTGTAAAAGTAAACCATTTTGCTTACACCCTGTACTAGCTCTATCGGTAATAATATGCCATATATAATCGAAAACTAGTTCTACGGAATGCGGTTTAGAATTGGTTATAAAGAGTGTGGTTTTTTCTAAGTCTAACAGACTAGTTAAGAAATTGTAAAAGTTTGTGGAAAAATAAAATAAGTAAAACTTTACAAATTAGTAGCTAACTAGTTCATTTGCAACTAATAACTGATAGCAACTGCAGCTAAATTTAATAAATATATTTATGTATTATTACAGAGTTAAACAAATCTAGACTTTCAACAAAAAAAAAAAAACACAAAACAAACAAAAACGTCAACCGAAGCTATAATTAATCCCTTCATAAATCAAAAAAGTTTTCCAAACAAGAACTTGATTTTGTTTCGTCAGTTTGTATGACAGCTACATATATGTTGTAGTGGTTCCATGTTGGCGGTTCCGAGAAATGCATAGCTTCTTGAGGAGACAAATATTTGTGCGAGCGATATCTCAAAAACTGTGGGATTGATTTTCGTATATGCAGATAGACAGACGGATGTGGCTAAATCGATCAGCTCATCACGCTGATTACTCATATATGTACAAGTATATATATTTTAAAGGACTCTGAAGATTCCTACCAGGTGTTAAAAACTTCGTGGCAAACTTTACTTGTTCAGAGTATAAATATGGTAAAACTGGTCTTCAAATAGTAAATTTTTATCTACTTGTTTATAGACGAGTTAAGCAGGAATTGAACTTGCATTAATATTCAGGAAATGCGAAATAAAACAACATTTTCCAGATGAAAATAGGTGAAGAAATATAAAAATAGTCCGTTATTAGGCTACTGAGATTTAATTATATTGCAATAACTGTGTATTTACTCACTTTGACATTTTATCAGACACAATTTTTTTAGTTTAAAAATTAGTGCACTAAATTTTTTTCCAACTTACCATCCAGAAGCTGCCCACAAAGAATGAATGCACCTCATTTGTTGCATTCGTGTCGATTTGTGTTGTTTGTTACCGTTTGCTTGGCTTTCGAACTCAATCTTTTGCCATTCTTTAGCCATACTCACTTCAATCCGATCTCTGTTGTTTGCCCCGTTCTTCGCTTATTTGTTTGCTTATCAGCTTGTTTGTTGAGTGAATGAGTTACTAAGTGCCGTTTCAGACAGGGATTCAAAAGAGTCTGATGTTTTTCAAATTTTCTTTTGGTGTCGCTCTGGGCATTCACACGGTCAAAAAGAGTCCAGCAACTCGAGTCTAGTTTTTCTGCATTCCTTTTCACAAAATGTTCGTAAATATTTGTGCAGTTCGACTGCGCAACACCGCGCAACACTGCATGCTGCGTATTTCATTTGTATATTGAGATGATGGTCACACATTTTGCTTGCAATGAATTACCATGAATATAGTAGAACAATATGCATAATACAAGTACCTACCCGCTAAATAGTTTCAAAAAAATACTAAAGACGGGAATTCCCTAATCCACAAGAATGTATTGAATATCCGCTACTAATATTTTCAAGGCCAAATTTATAATAGGAATTTCCTAATCTTTAAGTATTAAAAACTCATAATTTCTTTACTATGTATTAAAAATTCATAATTTCTTTACTCCATAATCTATATCTTAATTTTCTCCTTATTTACAATTTGTCATAATATTTCTATTATTCTATGCATACGTATTTGCATATTACATACAAAAATAGATAACAGAACTCAAATTTGCGATCGAATTCATTTGAAACCGAGCGCTCTTGCAACCATTCAAAGGATTTGAAAGTGAAAAGGAATGCTGAAAAGGGTAGCAGCGAGCTGTTACGAACAAGAACACAAAGCGTGCCACCCGAACACGAGTGGCACGGTCCCTTCGTCTTTCCTCGTCGTCCCCTCACCCACAATAAACTGGTATGAGACTCTTTTGCGTCCCAATGTGAAACGGCACTAACGGCACTTGGATATATAAGTACTTTACAAATACATTCTTATATTCTCTATGTACATGTAGAGTAAATTAAAAAGTACAAAACACTTTTATAAGCGTAATTGTGCAATGTCATTATACAGCTGCCTCTGTGCTTCTCTATTCGAGGAAATTGCAAATAAATGTCCAATATATTATATTATTGTTGTTGAACTGTGAGGCAATGGAAATTCTGTTATGTTGCAAGTTAACTTTCCGGGCTACCGCGAAAGGTGTCTAAAAAAATAATTCCTTCATAATTTTCTGAGCTACACGACTAAACTATTTCAGCTTTATTTCTCTTTCATTCATACATTATATTTCGAAAGGCTAGTTACAAAACCTTATAATTATTATGGAAATTAATTAATTATTTTGAAATTTTTCTTCATTCAGTTTTAATTAAAGTATTCACAAAATATCAAAAATGTATTAAGGTTTCTTGTATAAACTACATGTAGTTACAAAAGTAACGTTTTGCCACAAAGTTTTGCCGCTTTATAAAGCGGAAGACTTTGTTTAGTATTGAATGACTGGTAGATTTAGACCTATATAAGATGAAAACCTTGCTTGTTTTGTTGAAAATATTCTGTGGCTTGAGTTGGCGGCAAACAAAAGTACAAAGAAAATACTTGTATAATTGCTGATTTCGCTTATTGATCTAACATTCAGAGTAGCATAAGTTATACTGTCTCCGCAGTACTGGTAGTGTTCTCCGAGAGCAATAGATCATAGCTGAGATGTCACCAGATTTATATAGACTCATGTCTTGTTATATACGTTTCAAAAGGGTCCAAGAATGCATAAGAAGCGTACAAATATCGATTTGAACTTATAAAATTCTCTCCAAAAGTGTATATTATTGCTTGAGCTATCTTTGTGTTTAGAAAACATTCATTGTTGAGGAAGGTTTTGTATATAATCTTAGAAAAAAAAAGACGTTGCTATACATCTCTACAATACACTCACAGCGTTCTGAGGTTTTCCAGCCAATTAATGAGTGTCTATACCAGAAGGGAGGTCCTTGACATAACTTTGTGCAATGAGCTAATGTCCGGGCTGATCTCACAATGGAGGGTATCGAAAGAGCCCTCTATGTCAGATCACAGGATCATACGGTTTGCAATAAAAGTGGAGGTCAAGGACCTTCTGCCAGTCCGTATTCCCAGAAACACAAATTGGGATGTTTTCAGAGAGACCCTAGAGCTAAATATTAGTAGAGTGAGGCAGGTAGGAAGCGATGCTACGCCGCTAGGACTAGAGAGCAGGCTGGCTGCGACTAACCAGTTCATAATAGACGCGTACCATTGCGGTTGCCCATTAAAGTCAACCACCAAAAGACAAGGCTGTCCTTGGTGGACCAGTAAACTCTCAGTGCTTAGAAAATCGGTTCGCAGGCTTTTTAACAAAGCCAAAAGAACCGGCAACTGGGAGGAATATAGGCAACACCTAACAACCTACAATAAGGAAATTAGGTCTGCAAAAACCAGTAGTTTCAGAAAATTCTGTGAAAATGTCTCCTCTACTCCAGAGGCTGCAAGACTGCATAAGGATCTGGCCAGAGGTAAGACTGACACAGCATTAGCCATTAAAAGATCCGATGGGACCTATTCGACCAACGCAGACGAAAGGGCAATGGCACTCTTGCTTGAGCACTTCCCGGAGACTATTTGGGACGACCAAGTTCCACCAGTGGTCGCACATAAGCCAGATCGCTCAGATTGAACAGCTGCAAAGAATCTATTCAATGCAGACTCAATCAAGTGGGCACTGGCTTCCTTCTCGAAATACAAGTCACCAGGGGCTGACGGCATCTTCCCAGCACTTCCGCAGCAAGGAGGGCAAGCTCTATTGCCGTACCTTGTTGGGCTGATGAGGGATAGCCTTGCGTTGTCGTACTTCCCATCAGCGTGGAGAATAGCTAGGGTAATCTTCATACCTAAGGTAGGAAGGAAGGACTATTCACTTGCCAAATCCTTTAGGCCTATTAGTCTCACCTTCTTCATGCTAAAAGGTATGGAAAAGATTATAGACAACCATATAAGATCGAAAGCACTAAAAGTCGCACCTCTGCATGCAAATCAGCACGCGTACAGAGTAGGTAGGTCTACTAACACTGCTCTGTACCAACTAACGGCTGAGATCTAGAACTCGCTGGAGAATAATGAGGTTGCGATATGTGCTTTCCTAGACATCGAAGGTGCTTTTGATAATGCGTCGCACGCAAGCGTGATCAGAGCACTCCTTGAGTTGCTAACGAACAATGGAATTCGGTGCCAGGTGCCACTATCTGCGACATAGTCCAAAGGGGTCTAAACCTAGCAAAGGGATGGTGCGACACGGTAGGGCTAAACATTAACCCATTAAAAACAACCGTCATCCCTTTCACAAGAGGATCGCTTCCGAGCTTTAGAATACTATCCCTTGGGGGCAGAGAGCTAGAAGTGTCGAGGGAAGTAAAATACTTAGGTCTCACACTAGACTCCACCTTGCGGTGGAATAGGCACGTGGAGCTAACGCTTTCCAAGGCCACAAATGCACTCATGATGTGCAGACGCCTAGCCGGAAGTCCCTTGGCTGCAAGCCTAGTATAATCAGGTGGCTGTACACCATGATCGTGAGGCCTATTGTTACTTATGGAGCGGTGGTTTGGGCATCTTCGATAGCAGAGACTTGCCTGCGTCTGCGCCACTGGGGCAATGCGCACCTGCCCCACCGCAGCACTTGAGGTGATGCTAGAGCTCACACCGCTCCATTTAGTTATCAATCAGACTGCGAAGCATACCATGCTGCTTATGACAGTAGAGGGGTATGGTAAAGGGAAGTTAATCTCGTCTCAACAAATGAGGGCTTTAGAAGATAACACGCCACTGGCCCT